GCTTCCTGATTGGCAGGGAAGCCGGCTCCATGCCCCCTTGTCACATAGTGAGTCATTTACACAAGTGACAAGGGAGCATGGAGCCGGCTTCCCGGCCAATCAGGAAGCTGGGCAGCGTATAATGGCGCGTTGCCCGGCTTCCTGATACGGTATCGGTGCTTACCTAATTATTATTATACAGGATTTTTATGGCGCCAACAGTTTGTGCAGCGCTTTACAATATAAGGAAGACATGACAATGGCAATACAATTCAAGACAAGATGTTAGGAGGGCCCTGCCCCTGAGGGCTTACACTCTAAAAGATTAAATAGTAAATTCTTATAGAGTTCAATACATTGGACCAAAATGTGGGAGAACAGAGGAGGAAAGAGGGGAAAAGGTTTTAGTTGCAAAGGAGGGATAGTCCCTCCAAATTAGGGGCAGTTGAGAACTATGGAGCTTAAATACATCTAAGGAAACCTATGGGGCTGATTTATAACATGTTCACACAGTATATATCTGAGCGAAAGATGTTCACAGCATATTACTGCCACTGGATGAAGCCAAGGAGCATAGAAAATGCTCCTTGGCTCCATCTAGTGGCAGTAATTCACTGTGAATGCCTTTTGCACAGATATACGCTGTGCAAGCACGTTATCAATCAGCCGCTATGTGTTTATATCTGATCAGGAAAGCAGATTTGACAGCAATCCATGCTGCTAGAAGGACAGTGGGTTGCATACATCCAATATGATTGTGTACTATACTATACTCCCTGTTTAGTGTAGATGAGGGGATCAAGTGATTTCTAAATGTGTATGTCAGTGTTGGTAAAAAATATTGGGCCTCTATAGCACACCAACCTCTACAGCAAAAGGGACAATCACATCCATTGGGACAGTTATACTCACCCTATCCCCTGAGCCAGCTAACTCCTAGATCATTCCCTGAAGCCTCTCCCTGTCCCTCTGCGCCCTCATTTCCAGTGCACTGTACAGGACGTGATGACCCACAGGACCTGAGACCGCTGGAGCAGATGGGGAGAGAGGCTCAGGGGACCGGTAGCCCCACTGCAAGGGTGAAGATCATTTTTGTCAAGAGTTCTTCTTTAAAGTTTATTTAAAACTATACATGCATCTAAAACTACTCTGTCCACAGGCTGACAACTGCTGCAAGATTGCACTGCAGATCAAACTGTGTTGCTACAGGAAGAAGGAAAATAGCAGGTCTATTTGCAGGATTAACAGGTAATAAAAGTATGCTATAGCGGGACTAAGGGTCTATTTCTAAAGAATTTGCGGAGCTGTTCGCCCAGCATATCTCTCTGAATGTTCGTTCTGTGGCAAAAACGTTGTTAGTTATATTTTGATTCCAGGTAGACTGTAATGTAATATAATGTAATATAATGTAATACAACATTATGACCACTAGATGGTGCTGAGGAGCATAAGGACTTGATACTTATTTCCTATGCTCATCAGCGCCATCTAGTGTCCATAATAATGAAGTCAAATAAGTTTACTTCTGCTTTAAGTTTACCTCAAGTAACGCTGGCACAGAGCGGCCATACCTATTGTAATGACATCTACCGAGAATATATTTTTGAGCCTAACAAGGGCCTTCCTGTTAAAAACCAGGAACAGTGCTCTGACAAGCACAGGTAATCAGCAATAATGATGCCTAACCCCAGGGGGAAAACAAACGATCTTTTCATTCCCGAACCTTCTCCCGGCAGCCTCTTATTTCCACACATCAAAATCAGCAGAATAAAGGGCTGAAATTACATTTCGCTATTTATCGAGCCGTTTTCTGCATGCCTGCGGTGGCCATGTTTGGCAGAAGAATAAAACACTGCGGGTGTAATTATTGGGAGACGTGTGTGTGAATGTGTGCATGCCATTTACTGGAAGGGGGGGGGGGGGGGGGTTCTGGGTGCAGGGAGCCAGCGGAGGAATGGATAAAGACATAATTCGAGGCGTATTTCTGATTAATGCAGGTTGGCTATGCTTAGCTGCGCATTGTATTGATTAAATAGCACCAGGGAATAAAAGTCATATTTCAGTTCTTGTTTGTTAAGCAGCTTTGAATACGTGAAGGTTTAGCTGCGCATTATATCCATGGTAAGCTGGGAATAGTGTTTATTGCCCTATACCAAATGTATGTCAAGCTGGTGCCATGATATGAGGGCCAACGTCCCACTGATTGCACTTCGAGAATTCATAAGACACGGGGCAATGTATATTCTACAGTAGCCAACATGCACCAAAGGAATCACCTGATGAAGATCCGGGGGCAGCCTTTATTTTTCTGTCATGACAGGTTTTCATTCAAACTGAATTTCCATTTAAATGTATTCCTCAATAACCACAAAGGATGTTAATCTACACCGTGTGGCACCACCAGACACCTTGCAAAAACACCTGGAAAAAGTGCAGCACATAGCCTGTGCAGAGAGAAAAGCTGTGGGAGGGGCCCAGCAGCTCCACCCACTATAGGAAACCACAGTAGGAGCGGAGACAAGGCCAGTCACCCTGCACAACAAGAGGGAGCAGCAGTGGGCGGTCTTTATTACAGGAGGGGGTGGAAACAAGACCAGTCACCCTACACAAAGAGATAGAGCAGCAGTGACCGGTCTTTATTACAGGAGAGATGTTCTTTAAGATTTTTGAAAAATGGCTGCGTGCATAGGTGACGGGTTGGGCCTCTTAGGCCTTCTCTGCTGCTTTATGTAAATAGGTTGTAGATCTTGAAGCTTGAGTCCATTTATGCAGTGATTAGGCTTTATTGCCTGTCTGTATATACAGTGTGTATATAATTTTGTGGTGTACTGTATATTTATGGTTTTGTTTCTGTACAGTTAATATTATGGTTATGTTTTGTTATTTTTTTTATATAAACGTTGCTTGAGTCTTTTAATAAAAAGATTAGCAGCAGTGAGCGGTTGGGTTACTGCACAGATTTGTAAGAAATACTCAAAGCTCACCAAGATTTAATAACAATATATGTTAACTTTTGTATTTAGAGCATGTTTGCTTATCCTGGAGTTCAGAGTGTATATAAACCCATACTAAAATTCACTAAAAAGAGTTGTTGGGTCACTATACGTGAGCTGGTTGGGAAGATGTTAATCAATCAACGTTGAGACACTCCACCCACAACCTCCCACTGACACGTTTCAAATCCTACTGCAGGTTTATCTTTCATTTTCTAACCTTGCATTAACAAACATCCCTCATTTCAGGGGTGGTACATAATAGATGTGGAGGTATGTACAGGCAGGTGTCTGCATTTCATGTGTAACACCAGCTCACACAGTAATGGATAATGTGTGCTGTAAACTTAATTCCTTCATTTACTTCTTTTTATGTCAAGATTTCATCATCTAACAACTTTGTTATTAAGCAACTCATTTCCTGTCTCACAGATGCACTGCTGATAGAGTGTTAAAGTTTTATTTTAGGGAACAGTTCTGTTCAAATGTAATAATCACCAAAAATCCTAGAGCCGCTCGAAGAAAAATGATACAAAGTGATATCGTTCACAAGGAGAGCGCTTCCTCACTCCTCTTCCTCTATCCCCCTCCCTCCCTCTCTACTCCTTCCCCTCTCCCCCTTCCTCCTTCCACTTCCTCACTCCCTCTTTCCCCTTCCCCTCCCCCCCCTTCCTCTCTCCTCCTTCTCCCCTCTTCCCCTTCTTCACTTCCACTTCCTCTCTCCCCTTCCTCTCTCTCTCTTCCTCTCTCCCCCTTCCCCTCTCTCCCCATTCCTCACTTCCCCTTACTCTCTCTCCCCCTTCCTCTCTCCTCCTTCTCCCCTCTTCCCCTTCTTCACTTCCACTTCCTCTCTCCCCCTTCCTCTCTCCACCTTCCTCACTTCCACTTCCTCTCACCTGTTTCCTCTCCCCCTTCCTCTCACCTAGAGTTGCCACCTGTCTGGGATTCACCCGGACAGTCCGGGTTTTGAATGCTGTGTCCGGGTTTCATGGCAGCTGAAACCCGGACAAATTATGTCAGTCAGACAGGGGCAACCAAAATTAGGATAGGGGCTGCTGGCCCCCCACTGAAAATAGTTTCAACTGTGATATTTACATATGAATGGGTGGCGCTATTTACATAAGATATGGTGGGTTAAGATCAAGGTGCGAATCATTCTCCCACAAAAAAGTTTCCATGCGTCGGTAGAGTGTTCGGGTTTCGCTGAAAGAAAAGGTGGCAACGCCTACTCTCACCTGTTTCCTCTCTCCTTCCCCTCTCCCCCTTTCTTACTTCCCCTTCCCCTCTCCCCCTTCTTCACTTCCACTTCCTCTCTCCTCCTTCCTCTCTTCTCTTTCTCTCTCTCTCTTTATTCTAGTTATCTCCCCCCCCCCTATTTTCTCTCTTTCATTCTCTTTCTCTCCCTTATTCCCCCCTCTCTTATTTTCTTTGGTTCTCTCTCTCATTCTGTCTCTCTCTCTCCCTCATTCTCTTTCTCTCATTCTCTCTCATTCTCTCTCTCTCTTTTGACTGCAAGAAGTAAAGGAAGCCCGGTAAGCATTGTTAGAGGTACTCCGATGGACAGGCTATCAAGAAGCCGAGCAGCGGGTCATGATCCGCTGCTTTAGGGCTATGATCAGCAAATGCCCATGTGTTTAGGGCTATGATCAGCAAATGCCCATGTGTTTAAGGCTATGATCAGCAAATGCCCATGTGTTTAAGGCTATGATCAGCAAATGACCATGTGTTTAGGGATATGATCAGCAAATGCCCATGTGTTTACGGATATGATCAACAAATGCTCATGTGTTTAGGGCTATTATCAACAAATACCCATGTGTTTATGGATATGATCAGCAAATGCACATGCATTAAGGGGTATGATCAACAAATGCCCATGTGTTTAGGGCTATGATGAACAAATGCCCATGTGTTTATGGCTATGATCAACAAATGCGCATGTTCTTAGGGCTATGATCAACAAATGCACATGTGCTTAGGGCTATGATCAACAAATGCACATGTGCTTAGGGCTATGATCAACAAATTACCATGTGTTTAGAGCTATGATGAACAAATGCCCATGTGTTTACGGCTATGAGCAACAAATGCACATGTGTTTAGGGCTATGAGCAACAAATGCCCATGTGTTTACGGCTATGATCAACAAATGCACATGTGCTTAGGGCTGTGATCAACAAATGACCATGTGTTTAGGGCTATGATCAACTAATGCCCATGTGTTTAGGGCTATGATCAACAAATGCCCATGTGTAAAGCGCTATGATCAACAAATGCCCATGTGTTTAGGGCCTGAGTGTGGTCACTTATTTAACATGACTGGTTCACTTTAGTGTTCTATATGTATATTGTTAATGTAAAGTGATGAGAATATATCCATTCAGGTTTTTCAGTTGAACAATAGTTTGTTCCCTACAGACAAGCATGAGGCATGGCTAAGTTCTTTTTGTATGTTAACCTAGGAATGCTCTGACAGCGGTTTATTGTGAGGATCGGAGCAATGAGAAAAAAAATATTACTAGGACTGAATTGCTCCCGGGAGGATTTGCATCTCCTGAATGAAAGACAATCATCTCAAGCCCGATAAATATGTTTTTTGTTATCTAGATAATGGGCTGATGTGCCTCTAATAAAGCCATGCAACCACCTAACGGCTGGAGGAATATGCTGACCCCGGCCTATGAATTATAGATTAAGTGAAATCACTTTCCTCTATTATTTTGCCGCAGACCGGGAATCTGCAACAAGCCAGAACAGGAAGAGAGATGTGCAGGTTACAATTTTTTTTATTATTTGGTTCTCAACCTTTAAAGGTAAAGGCAACCTTAAAAAAAAGTGCACACAGCTTCATAAAAGGAAAAAATGTGCATTTAATATTTTATTACATTGGAGCCAGTAAAGCATTGCAACCACATTCAATGGATCATGGGTGCCATGCTCTGGCTCCTGCAGTCTTCCTCTCGTCTATGTCTGTACCTCTGTACGGAAATTCGATTACAGGGACGGGAGGAAGAATGAATGTGACATCACTTTGTAGTTACTCCATTCACAGATCCTTTGAAATCCTGGATGACACGGTTGTGTGGGTGGAGCCACGCGCAGCTGCTCAATTTTCAATAAAGAGCAGCAACCTTCAGGGAGAAGAACCCTACGATTCAGGTAAGTGTGGGGGTGGGTGCGATGGGGGTGTCCATGGGTGGCTAAATATGGGTGTATCATGAAATATTCACAAAAGTAAACTTCATGAAACATAAAAATATTACACTTAAAGTGTGTCAGTGGACAACCTACATGAAGAGGCCCTAGGCCTTAGGCATTTATCATGGACAGTGGGAAATTGTGGCAAATTAAAATATATGTACAGCCAAGTGGTTTTTACCTTTTGGGTAAAGTAAGGAAAGAGTTAGAACCCCTGTTTTTTTTTATTTTTTTATTTGCTATCCGTGTTCGTTTTGTCCTGGTCCCCACCAGATTGAACAAGAAAAGACTCTTGATTCCCTCATCTACACTAACAGCATGGATGGGGGAATGCAAACTCCCCCTCTCACCACCACCAGTCTATTGTATTCTGACACTGGTACTGTCAGATTACATGAACAAAGACGGAGCTGATTGCAACTGACTGCAACTGGGTCCCAACAGTAGGTCAATTTCAGTCAGGTATAAATAAACCACCTCACTTATAAGAGATCACATAGCTGACTTTTTCCTACATTTTCCAAATGGTGCACATGGACAGTAAATATGTATGCATGCTATGCATCTAGATTGATTGCAATCATAATTTTACATCCATTGAATCATACTCCTTTCTGCTTTGCAAACTTTTACTGCTATTTGTTTATCCAATTTTTTTAGTATAGCCAAGGAAACTGACCCAGTCGTATTTAACGTACTTTTACTATACTCTAGCACATGCAATGGTTTCTATAACAGAATACACTAAAAGGTCACTTACCTTAGATTGTTGCTGTCCATAAATTCCCTATTGAACAAGACTTCATGGCAATTATGCATTCTCAGGAAAATGGCTTCTGGTTGTAGTCTCTCTCACTCAATTCTCTTTCTCTCCCTCATTCTCTCCTCTCTTATTCTCTTTGGTTCTCTCTCTCTCTCTCTCTCTCTCATCCTGCCTCCCCCCCACCCCCCATTATCTCTCTCTTATTCTCTCTCATTATCTGTCTCATTTTCTCTCTCTCCTATTCTCTCTCTATCATTCTGTCTCTCTCGCTCTCTCTCTCTCTCTTTTAGTCATCCTCTGTTCCAGGGATGTCCTCTGGTCAAAGTTCCTCAGTGAAGTCCTCACCATTGGCCTGGGCTGCTGGCTTTTATTTAGAAAATTGGTAGGTGACACCTGTGGGCATTGCCCTTACACTTGCATTAAATTCTATGGCAGGTGTATCTCTCTTTTTCAAACTTTAGATGGCAGCACAGCATCACAAATGTCATCTACAGTCAGTTAATGCCAAAAAGTCAAGCTACTGTTGACCAGCTTGGATGTGATGTTGACACAAAGCTTCCCCAAAGCAACAGAGGACATCTACTGTACATCCCATTATCATAAATTAGAGATGCACCAATACCGTTTTTTCGGTATCGAGTGCGAGTAGCGATATTTTTTCTGTACTCACCGATATGGAGTACTGATACCGAGTGCCAATACCAGTGCCGTGTGCCCAGTGCCTCAGGAAGCCGGGCAGCGTGTTCCTGATTGCCTGGGAAGCCGGTGTTCCATTGAAAGAACACCGGCTTCAGTTGCTAAGGCTGTCTGGCTTTGTGACCAATCAGGAAGCGGGCCGGTGGGTCATGAGGTGCTATAAGGTGAGGGTCAGAACCTACCGCCCGGCTTCCTGGTTGGAAAGGAAGCCGGGTCCATGCTTCCTCGTCCCTGCTGGTCAGAGGGAAATCTCCCTATGACCGGAAGTTCCGGTAATGGAGGTAAGTCCCGGAGCATTTGTACTCACCTAAATACTCTGTATCGGTTCTGATACTAGTATTGGTATCGGTGCATCCCTATCATAAAGCAACTAAGACAATAGAAGGCATTCTATGCCCTTTTGCCCATAGTGAGAAACTAGCATTGTAGCTATGAAATGACAAAATTGATATTTTGCAGGTTTTTTCAGCTCGTGCCAATAGTGTCAGTTTTTACCACCATTTTTCCATCTGTCACCAGTTCTGCATTTCACATTAAGTGAGATTTAACAGTTAAACTGGGAAACCTTTTTACCAGCTTTGGAAACATGCCCCAGATTTCCATGGGTAGAAGCAGAACTTAATCCGAGTCAAAATTAGAGCAAGATTCTAATAACCAGTTATGGCCTCTGAGAGTAGACTCATCAGAAGTCTGCTATTAAATGATTGCAACAAGAAATAACTATCCCGATGTACAAATAAAACACCTAGTGAGCAGAGGGTACACAAAGTCAAGCACAAACATTTCTCTCTGATGCACTAAGAGCCCCGAGAGTGTTCTGAAATAGAAAATTAGCAGCGGTGAACGGACTCCTCCATTTTAAAAAAGTAACATGTTCCAGAGGGTAACCTTTATTTTGCAGCCGGTATGGGAAGACATTTATAGAGACAGTATAATGGCCTTCAGGTAATTTGATTTATTTATTTTCATTTACAATTTATTAAACTGAGGTTTGCATTTTTTGAATAAATTGCATACACCCTTGGTTCTCAAACTGGTGGGTTGTGACCCAAAAGTGGGTTGAGACCCCGTGTTCAGTGGGTCGCCGCTTGCCTTCCACTTTTCTAGGTGAGATGTTTCTCAGCCTCCCTCTAGCGCAGCACTGTCAGTTCTTGTGCCAAGCAGCCATTCAAAATATGCTGCCTGGTGCCGGGTTTCAGCTTGAGGTGGGATAGGGCTATGGCCGTGAGGGAGCTTCATCCATATGTACATTGCTTACAGCTCCCTTGTGCACCCTGTTGAGGTGCTTGGACTGGAGTGACATCACATTCTGGCTCCCAACACCTCTACAGGGTGTGCAAGGGAGCTGTACAAGCAATGCACATATGGATGGAGCTCCATCACAGCACCGCAGCCCACACTGGACCCCAGGCTGAGAATCCACTCCACTTCTCATAAGGAATGGAGACTGGGTGGATCTTAAAAAAAAAGAAAAAACATTTTTTCTTGGAGCGTCTACAGTATATGTGTGTGATATTGTGTCTGTGGTTGTGTGTGTCTGTCTGTGTTTTGTAGGGCCCGTTCACACTAGTACAGTGCAATAATAGAACAGTCCTGTGCCATTACCGCAGTGTACCATGCACTCGCAACTACTACACATTCTGCTGTGGGAAGTGCGTTGCGTTGCCATTCATTTGAATGGCACCCCAAACAAACCTCCCACCCACAGTTCAATCGCCACACCAGAACGCGCGGTACTGCAATGCCGTGCGTTCCATTGCAGTGCGACTTGGGTCGCCACTCAATGACCGAGGACAATTGTAGGTCTTGAGGTTACACAGGTTGAGAACCACTGGTATAAACAATGTAAAATATATGTAAAGCCACAATCAATATTTTTCAGCATGTTTGGCTTCATGTCTCGCAATATACAGTTTCCCAATCTAAAGCCCGCAGTACTTTCCTGCCCACAGCAATGCAACGTCTATGAGCTCCCTTGTGTTCGGCCTTTTCCGGCAATCTAGATTGGCCAGCCTGGGTTAAGCACGGAAGGGCATTGATTGGGGTACCGAGGCAGGCCAAGACTGTACAATCCTTAGAGACATGCTAGTAGCTTTTATTGCAGAAGAGACACACAGAGTCCCTTCTACAAAAATCCTTACTGGTTAGCAATGCCGCCATCAACACCTAAAGTCTCTGCTTCAAGAATATTTACACTGCTATAGTTATTAGAAACGATTTGTCTAGCGAACAATTCTGTTTTGGTTTTGGAAGGAATATGGAAGGGTTAACCCCCTGCCTGGTTGCTTTTTTTTGCTGTCTGTGTACCATTGTGGAAATTTTCTATCACTTCCTGCACCGGTGACCCCAGAGAAGGTTAGAAGCAATCTCCCATAGTGAGGAAATTCCCCTTAGACAATTGTCTATAGACCAGGTGTCTCCATGGGATTTTTTCTGCTCTCTAGTTCTGAGGACAACTCTAAAATTTTGGATTTCCCCTCACTTTCAATGACGATGGTCACTACTAGAACAAGTAGAGAGGGCTGAACCTCCCCAGTGGGAACCCAGACAGCAGCAAAGGTTTGACAGAGAGTCTAAACCTCCCCCACTCTGTTCATATATACACTTTAATCCTCAGATATGTGAGCTTACCCCCTTAATTCCATATCTGTGATGGCTCTCATTCATCCAGGTCATGGTATATCTGTAAAAAATAAATCAAGGCAAGTGGACTTGCTGTATTTTTCTTGAAGACGTTTTGCTGGTCATCCGACTAGCTTTCTCAATTCCATGGTATTGGTATTACAGTGCCTAATTGGGAAATCTCAGGCACTTACCCACTAGCTTACAAAAATGGTTACAGAACAATAAATAACCGTCAAGTAAAACACGGAGGATCTACATCTTCAGCAGATTTTGCTGTCCATGGTCCTGAAACACATGTTTATTTATTTATTTTTTCTTTTCTGTGTTGCACCAGAAACCTGAAATCGTGCATCTAAAGAGCATCTTCAATCCAGAGGAGGACACTCACATTAGTGTACAGTTAAAGAAGGATCCCTATACATTGGTTTTAAGTGGGAAAATTATCCCTATACATTGGTGGTCAGTGGGAGAAGGACCCCATACATTGGTGGCCAGTGGGAGAAGGATCCCATAGATTGGTGGTCAGTGGAAGAAGGACCCCATACATTGGTAGTCAGTGTGAGAAGGACCCCATACATTGGGGGGTCAGTGGGAGAAGTACCCCATACATTGGTGGCCAGTGGGAGAAGTACCCCATACATTGGTGGCCAGTGGGAGAAGGACCCCATACATTGGGGGGTCAGTGGGAGAAGTAGCCCATACATTGGTGGTCAGTGGGAGAAGGACCCCATACATTGGTAGTCAGTGGGAGAAGGACCCCATACATTGGGGGGTCAGTGGGAGAAGTACCCCATACATTGGGGGGTCAGTGGGAGAAGTACCCCATACATTGGTGGCCAGTGGGAGAAGGACCCCATACATTGGGGGGTCAGTGGGA